TAAGCAGGTAAATATCAGAATGTTAGCAATTCATGTACCAGTGTAAATGACTACACAGAAAGAACTGGATAATTTTGCAGTTGTGATAATCCTAGTGGAAATAATTATCTCCAGTTTAAACACTATAAATCACAGTTTAAAGAAATGCATGTTAAAGTAGACTTTTCTGTTTAGTGGCAAGTCTGCTTTCTCTCAGGATTCAGTGCCTGAATGGTAGGTTTTCCTGCTACTGCTTTTCTTCACTGGTCATGTATTACTTCTTCCCAGCTTGCCTCCTGCTGAAATAATTGTGGTGCTAATAACAATGTGTGGGGGAATGACCAGATGTGCTAGTTTTTTTAGACAATTATACCAGTTTTTCCAATTTTCCAGACATTTTTTCATTTCTTTATTAACTCACCGGTGCCAGGAATTAGATTTTTCCAGTACATAAATCCTAATTAGCAAGCCAGAGAATTGAGTGCTCCATTTTACTCCTGATGTGTCATTTCCCCTCTTTTCTTGGTTAATTGACAGTTTTAAAAGCCAGCTCTTGTTTTACCCTTGTTTTTAAGGGTAAAAAAAGAAATACGGGAGTATTTTGGGACAGAAATGAAAATCTGGTAAAGGGACAAAAAATTAAAAGAAGGTGTAGTTGGGATCAGTGCTGTCTGCTAGTTTCTGGGATTGCAGGGCATGGAGGCCTGGAGAGTGGCTAAGCCGCTCGAGACTCAGCTGCATTTTCCTGTTACCAGTTGTGACTGAACCCTGTCCTGCCATGCCCATGTTCCTTTCTGCTTGCCATAGGTATGGAGTGAGTTTATTAAATTATGCTGGCCCTGAGGAACATCTACAAATTGATTCTGTAGAGCAAAGGCAGTGTTTGGTGCACTGCTGATGTGGGTTGCTCTTACAGGCTTTCCTCGCAGCCTTCGTTTCTCCTTATCAAGGACCAGAAATAGAAGGGAGGAGGAGGAGGAGGAGACAGAGGCTTGTCAGCAGTGAGGGTATCCTCAGATTTTGAATCTAAGGACTCTTTCAAACTTAGTATGTGCTTAGCGATGCCCTGAGTCTGTGGGAGGGGTTGGTGGAGGGTTGTTAGGGCAGGAGAAGTGGTTGTGAGTCCCAGGGAGAACGAAGCGCTCTGTCGCATCTGAGAGATGTGAGTGAGCAGGTTAACTGTGTCAGGAGAGGAGAATTGTACAAAAAGGGGCTTTTCTGGATAGATAGGATTATAGGGAACTGAAGAGGTTTGTGAGGTTCTGAGGTTCTCCTGGGTGACAGAAGGAAGGTATTCCATTTATGAGTGAGACAAAAAAAAATTTGTGTGTTCCTGTTGCCATTGATATGTTGTGGCTTGAGGCTAAAAAAGATTCACCAAAAGATGAGATGACAAAGTGCAGGTTCTTGCCACCTTGTACTGGGGAGTTTGAGTCCTGGGAGGGATAAAAGGAGACTGTGAGTAGAAGGTGGTACCCTTTTTAGCCTCTACTAGGGTGCTATAGAGGACAGAGGTTCTCTATAAGGGAAGCAAGCCTGATAAATGCAATTCCACAACTTAGATATCAGCTGGTAAGAAGGGAAATAAATAGCAAGGCTTTTTGTCAGCTAGGAAGGTAACTCAGTTCAGATCTTACCCCATCTCCATAAAGGTCTTTCCAAAACTTGAATCTTTTGAGGTTCAGAGAAGGATGATTAATTGCCTTTTTTTTTTTTTTTTTGTGCTAATGCATTAATTGGTTCCAGGCAGACAGGGAACAGCAGAGCCAAGATATTGCAAGAAAGGCTGCAGTCCAGGTAATTCAAGGGCTGTCAGAAGGCTGAGAAGCACCAGGGGTCATGACAAAACCTGGAGTCTTTCATTTTCCAAAATCTTTCATAGGTCCAGGAGGTCTGAACAATGTCATGGTTTTGGGTGCTCAAATAGAAAGAAAGAAAGAAAAAGAAAAAAAGAGTACTTTGGAGTTATTCCAGCACTGCTGTGCTGCCTTTAAAGGGATCCTCAGGAATTTGTTTCCTGACCCTGGAGACCATATTTCTGTCTCCTGAGATCATCCTCCCAGATGGGCAAGATCAGTCCTTGGCACTGCCTACTAGCATTCCTTGTCCTGAGATGCAAGTGTTACCTTTACTTATGAGTGCTGGTGTTCTTGGCTGCGTGTCTGTGGGTGGCTCTTCACTAGCCAAAGCTTGAGCCTGTTATTTATTTACTACCCACTTAGGTTGTTGCTGTTTGAAAACATGTCATTGCAGAATTCATGCCTAACAGGTGCTCTCTCCTTTTAGCTGTCTGACTGGCTGTGTCTTCCCAGTATGAACACTGGGAGAAAAACAGCATAACAACTGTCTTTGGGGGGTTACATCGCCCAATCCTGCCCTGCCAGTCAGCAACAGCACAGTATCACCAAACCACAAGAGATTTTATATGAGGCTTTTATTTAAAGGAAATAAAAAACCATGCTGGTTTTAGGCATATTAATTTCTCCCTTTTATTAGCTTTTAGGGAATGAGCAACAGCTCCATGAGTTGTGTTTGTAACAAATACAGGTTATGAAATAAATGTATTTCATTATTCGCTCATTGTGCAATGAAAGGCTCTCTGAATCTGCCTCCTAAATGGTTTAACTCAACATTAGAAATGATGCTGCCAAATACCGACTGATTCAATAGACGATGAGTTTCAAATTCCTCTTTTACATGGGGAATGTGATATAGAACAATGACCTCAATTTTCAGCTGTGTCCTCAGATTCACCTCTTTTTTGGCTGTCTCTTTTTCTTTTTCAGTATCTTATCATACTTTTTCAAGTCTTGAGGGTCTTATGAGGGCACTATTATTTAATAATTAGATACTATAGCTCTGATGGTGTTCTGGTGACATCTTTTACAACTAACAAGTATTTAATAGAATGTAATTAGAAGCTCTGATCCTTAGACCTTGACCTGTCTAGACCTTGTATACAACTAAGTGACTAGACAGCCCTTAACACTCATTAGGAGTTATCTGCACCCCACTTTACAAAGCTATGTGAGGAAACTGTTTAGATTTAGCCTCAAGCCACCTGCTTTGTAATCTGTTGCTGTGCACTCAGTTGATCCCTCTGTCCTTACAGTAACTGGAAAACTACCAAAGATTTCATTTTAAAGAAAATATTCTGATTCAGGAAGCATAGGATGGAAATCTGGTTACTGTATTTGACAGCATGAGCTCTTCAGAAAGCGTGTGAATAGGAAAGATTATTTCAATGCTATGGAGAAACTGGTCACATTTTAAAATGCAAGAAAAACATCTAAAGATAGTTAGAGAAGTCAGCTAAAATGTGTTTTGATAAAGTGTATTCATCTGGGATATATTTAATGGTGCTCTTTTTACAGGTGATATATTTGTCTTGTTCTTATTTCTGAAAGCCCCTTAGATCTTTAAAGTAAATTAACACTTTTTACTACTGGTTTAAAAAAATTTAAATTAAAATAAATATGCATTTCTGAAGAATAGTCTATTGGGCATGCCACTGAGAAACACAAGGAGCAGGTTTCTTTCTTCTCCATTAATTTTTGAGTGTATATGTGCCTATATTGTCAAATATTCTTAAATATCTCTTACCTAGTCCATATACCTATTCCCTCTCTTTCTTACTTTGTCTCACTTTAGTTTCATTTTAATGGGATAGACTAGTTGTTGTCTTAGTTTTTACTCAGACTTTGGAATCCATTACCATCCCACATGTCTTGGGGTTTATTAAAGATAAATGCAACAAAGCATGTAACAATGGAAAGGAAAAATTAAATTCTTAGGATTTCTTTGATAAATTTTCAGTGGCATAGGAAAAGGATCCAAATACATTCTTAATATATTTGATCTTGATCCTTTCTGGAAACTATTATATGTAACCAAATGCATCCATGTATAGAAGACAGATTTTATTTTAAAAAGTGTCCAAATGATCTTGTTAATGCTAATACAACATTTCAATTATTTGTCTTTTGAAAAGGGTTCTGTTTTGAGATGTTAGTTGCAAATAGAGGAAATGAAGTGTTGATGTAGTAAGGAATAATTTACTATGTCTAGAGAGTTCTAAAGCAAAACATCTGGATCAATTTGTTTACAAAGTTCCTGTAGATAAAAGCACTATCTCTCCTAAGGATCAGTTTGTGCCCTTTCTGAATAATCCTTTAAAAAAAAAAGGAAAATTTGTTATCACCATACACATAACGGTCTTGGGAATTTGTTTATTAGGGAATCCAAAGAAATCATAGGAGCATGGGAGGTCAGCTACTTGCTGAAAATGTGGTGTGGTTTTATGGTCTGAATTTAGCATGGCCTTCCCTGTTTCTCTGCTTCCCTCACACCCTTCATCTTAAAAAGTAATACATTTTCGAAGCTATGAGTAAGCACAGCATGTTAGAGGTATGCCAAAGCAGGATGTGGAATGGAGACAAAACCTTTGGTTTCATATGGACATGAACATCCTACAATAATTGAAGCTTTTTGAAGGTGCATCTCTTGGGGCTATTTAAATCAGAGGGAGATAACCCCTAACTTAGAGAAAGACATATATAGTTCAACATACAAGGTTGAACTTGTACTTGAAACATTCTTCAGCATTCTTCAGCAAAAGAGCAAAACAATAACTTTTTTGTATTCAGGTGTCTCAATCTGGAAGTGCATAGAATGCCCTTTGTTGATATTGCCTCTAGTCTTGAAAAGTATTTTGGGTTCCTCCTTTAACAAATGTAGCCACAGCAATTAGTATCATCAAAGTGAAGTTTGCAATGATTTTATCGATAGGTAAATTACAATGCTAATTTTATTTAAAATGCTGATAGTCTCCTCATGGGACCATAGGTGTTCTGAGGGGGTCTTTGAAAGTCTTTTATTATATTAATACAAGCAGCAGTTTAGCTATGTTAGCCATTAGTTCTGGCTATATTGCTGGAAGTCTGTACCTGAATACTGTATGTTTTCAAGACTTGCTTCATGCACTTCCCTGATTTGTTTTTTTTTGTTTATTTTTTTCCCAGATGTTTTCTCAGATAAACACTGAATGGATATTTTACCCTACAGGACACTTCTTACAGATCTTGTACGTTTCTTTAAATTTTTTTTTCTCTTCCGAGTTTACCTTTTATATATATCCTTTTAGTTAAAATACTTATGCAAGATACTAACATTGAAATTTAATTTTGTGGTTAAGATCTGACATGCTCAGCTACCTCTGTTGTTTTCTTGGAAAGATCAGAAACATAGGCTATATTGTCTATATAGCCATCCTTTTTCAGCTCCAAGGGGCATATCTCTCATAGAAGTACATGTTTTTTGCTGTTGAGAGAAGTGAAATCTCCATCCCTCCCATGGGACAGTATCCTTGGAGTGTCAAGGGAGTTAAACAACCATGTAGAAGAAGAATTGCCCTGGGACAGAACATGGGCCTCATTCCATCCTAAGTTTGGTCATGAATCTGAAGGTTGTGGTTCAGACAAACTTCAGAGTCGTATAAATTCAACTGCAACTCAGCATCAGCATCCACAAAGCCCAGCTGAGAGTCCTGTTGTTGTTGACAGTATACTGAGCTCATAAAAATAAATAGGATCATTATATAAATCAAAAGAAGATGAAAGTAGAACCCACATCTTTCAGCTTGAATACTAAAAGTCTGCCAGGAGGAATAAAAGATACTTCCTGTAAGGGTGATGAGTTGAAAACCTTTAGAGTTTTTTTATTTTACATGGTAAAGAGAAGGGGAAAATGGCCTGACTAAACCCTATGGGTATGTATTCTTTCTCATTCCAACATGCAAGTTTATTTAAAATTAACAAGCTGTCCTCACTATTTTCAGTTCATTTTATGACACCAGCCCTGTGAAATGATACTGGGTATCTCCACCTTAGGGTTCTGGAAGGAAGTAAGAGAGTATTTGTCTTTCCCAAGAAAACACAGCAAAGTTGTTATACTTGCCTGGATTAGATGTCCTGCTGTTTCTAGATCATGCAGTATTTATTTAATCCTGTGTTCTCTTCTAGAAGGAGTGTGTTTTCATGCGGATGCTGAGTAATCTCCCAGTAGTGTGGAGGACATTGCAAAGAGTTTTGTGCAGTTTCTTGGGGTGGACAAGCAAGCTATGTGCATAATAACTAGTTAATTAGGTGTATTTATACATTTGTTGATAGTAGTTAAGCAATAGATTCTATGACCTGCAGCAGTAGGATCTCAGAAGTCACTACATGTATATTTTATTATAAAGTGGTTTAAGCGCTTGAACCAGTATTTTAAGTTTACTTTGCAGATGTGCTTTTTTTCATAGTTCATTTAAAACCAGAAAAACAATTTAATTCTTTCTTTGTTGTTTAGTGAAATAATCTCATAGTTTTCTGGTAATTGCTGGGGAAATTAATGGGGTTTTTGGAAAAGGTTCTATGATATGTAAGAATTTAGAGTGAGATCCAAAAAAGCACTTAGATGCCTAAAGTAAAACTTAGGCAGAATCTAGATACCCAAATCCAAGGGAGTGATTCAAATGCTCTGTGCAGAGACCAAGAGACTCTGGACTGCTGAGGCTTCTTATGCTGCTGAGAACCCAACATTCTGCTAATGCATGTGCTCGACAGTGTTGTCCCTGTGGAGCTGAACACTGAGCTACCTTTTCCCTTTCTAAGTTAATGTATTCGCAAACCAATTGTCCTGCTACCTACACTTCCCTTTTTGGAATTTAAATCTAGTTGCTACACATCAACTTGTAACCTATGTACTAGTAGTAGGGAATTCATAAAACCATCTCAATTTTCATTCAAAACGGCGTCCTCTCATTTGTTGCTATAACATAATAGGTTTTCCAACTTGATTTATTACTGATTAGAGATACGTGTTGTATCTTTGTACTGATAATAAACACATTGTCTTTCTATATCAGAGTTGATTAATTTAACCAATTAAAAGCAGTTGTAAGAGATTTTTTAGCGTGCTGTCTGTCTCTGAATTGGTCTTGATCCTGTTGATTATATTCATGTGTTTTTATTGGAAGTGGTTACATTACTTTTTATTAATGCTAACTTAACAATAATATCAAACTGGAACTTGTCTGTCTCGATGAAAGATCCCACCAGATTTGCTGCTTTTGGTATTGGCAAAAACCTTACAAACCCATTACCTCTTACTTCCATTTCCATCTTCTGTTATTCTGATTTAACTTACAAGTCTCTGCAAAGAGGCCTCTTCTTTTTATGGCTTCTTTCTGGTGTAGATGTGAGATGCTTGAGGATAAATGTAGTTTTGGTGAAATATTTTGCTTCACCAGGTGGATGAAGCAACAAATTTATTCCCTGATCAAAGCTAGGGGATCTCCTATTAATACACTTACATTAAGGATTATATTTACCTTGGGGTATTCAACAGATTAAAAAAAAGGAAAAGAATCCCTTCTCTTTGGCCATATCTTCTGATCTTTTGAAAAGAAATAAAATGATCCTTGACTCTTCCAATCCATTCTTGGAGGGGTAATGGTATGAAACAATTGCTGTGTCCACATCATTGAATATGCAGTGTTCCCAGCTCCTGCCCTTTAAAAAAAGGGTTTAAATGCAATCTGTACTGCTCAGCATGCATAATTTTGCAGGGATGGATCAAGTAGTTCTGTAGTATAAGACGTCTTTTTAGCACAAATTGGGAGATGCAGATTGCCATCAGGCTTTAACTGATTTTTAAAATCAGAGCTTTACTAATGTGTCTCATGTGATGAAGTGCCTGCTGAGTCTGCTCTGCAGTGTTGTGGGCAGCATCAGCCTAATGTATTTTCACTGTTGGGAAAGCTGGTATTTTATAGAAACTGAATACATTTTCAGATGTTTAGGAGGGAAGCTGGCAAAAGTATGTCTGGGAAATTAATTCTTCATAAAAATATCTGCTCCTGTGCCTGCCTTTCTCTCATAGACAGTAGACAGGAAGGTGGAGAGATACTACAAAGCTTAAAAGGTAACACCATGGGGTTTCAAGCCTATATATGTATTTTTATGTATGTTGGAAATAATCATTAGCAAGCATTATTATGCAATTCATGAGTTTACTGAGGTTTTAGTCAGTACAAATCCAAAACCAAGGCAGTCAGGGCAGAGGCAGGATAATACTGAGATAGCACTGGTAAAGCTAAGATTTAATGAGTAGTACTAGGAAGGTAACAACAGTGCTTGTATTTAGTAAATTAATAGGAAATTTTTTTCAACATATCCTGAAGATATAATGGAACCTTTCTTCAGCTTATTAGAAAAATGTAATACCATGAGGCAGGTTGCCTCTCCTCCTAGTACACAGTGCTCACCAGGCACAGAGACCTAAAAGTGGCCATGTCCTTACCTTCTGAAATTCAGCAAAGGCAAATGCAGGGTCCTGTACCTGGAAAGGAACAACAGGCTGGGGACTGATCTGCTGGTAGACAACAAGCTCTCCATGAGCCAACAGTGTGCCATGGTGGCCAAGAGTGGCAAAAGAATCCTGGAATACATTAGGAAGAGCATTGCCAGCAGGTCGAGGGAAGTGATCCTGCCCCTCTAGTCATTCCTGATGAGACTGTGTCCAGCACTGTGGATACAGCCACAGTGTGGAGTACTGTGTCCAGTTCTTGGCTCCACAGTACAAGAGAGGCATGGAGCTCCTGGAGCAGGTCCAATGGAGAGATACTAAATTGGTCAAGGGTCTGGAGAATCTCCCTTATGAAAAAAGGCTGAGAGAGCTGGGCCTGTTCAGCCTTGAGAAGAGGCAACTGATAGGGGACCCCATTAATATGTAAAAATAGCTAAAGAGGGGGTGTCAAAGAGAGTTGCAGCCAGGCTCTGCTCGGTGGTGCTGAGCAATAGGACAAGAGGCAGCGGGCAGAAAGTGGTGCACAGGAAGTTGCACCTGAACAGGAGGAACAACTTCTTTATTGCGTGGGTGACCAGGCATTGTAACAGATTGACCAGAGAGGGTGTGGAATCTCCCTCACTGGAGATGTTCAAGAACCATCTGGATACAATCCTGTGCCATGTGTTCTAGGGCGACCTTGCCTGAGCAGGGAGGTTGGCCTACATGACCCATTGTAGACCCTTCCAACCTGACCCATTCTGTGATTCTATGTCAGCAAAGAGCACAAACTTAATCCACTAACAGAGTCCACTGCAGCCCAGGCACATACTTGATAATCAGATTGGCTATGACAATTGTCTTTAACCACGAAGAAGCAAGAAGAGCTGCTGTGTGGCACAGAAATGTATTGTGGCTGGTCCACCTTGTGCACAGAAAACATGCACAGTCCACAGAGGACAAGAATTTGGTAGTGCTACACCTGAATGCAGTTACAGCTTTATTTCAATTTACAGAGGCTTGTGCTTTTTAAATGAGATTTAAGTTTTGTCTTTGAATTCTAAATGCTGTTAGTTTAAATTTTACCTGTCTACCTGGGAGCTAAAGTGCCTTGGAAAGGCTCCACTTATGCATAGATTTTTATTCCTGTAATAGTTTCCACAAAATTCCATGTGTTATGGAACATTTATGTTCACGTTTTTAGTGTCCCTGACACAGAACTACATATTTTTGTTTATTGTAGATAGATTTATAGTAAAAAAATCTAAATTAATCTATATCTTTGGTAGCAGCGAAAATGTAATATAAAAAATTGGTTATGTCATTTTTCTTTAGCAGATGAGCTATTTTCTTGTGCTGTATAGTGTATGGTTTGGAGCATACCTGAACAAGTTGGAAAATCCTACAAGATTTCTGAGTGGAAATGGGCATAATATTAATTGAAAACTGATTAACTTAAAATTATTTTTTGAGACCCGTAAGATGAGCAAGTGGTAGGACTTGAGGACTTATAAGGCAGCTGACAGGAATCAAACCTGCCTGATTTCACTTGTTCTATGTACATTTAACTGACTATCAGGTGTTGCTTTAAGTACATGACATAATACAAGTGATTTATTGCCTTCCCTGAACAGCTTTATATGTTGTATTTTCCTCACACAAATGTCTGAAGACCAGATTAAATTGGTTTCTTCCAGAGAGACCAAGATTTTCCAGGGTTTTTACCGCTTGCACTGATTTATGGCATGGGCC